GTGGAGTGACAGTCTGGCTGGGATCCTCTTCCCTGCCCTCCTGACGCTGGCCGGGGGCTCCGCACGCCACCAGCCCCGCCAGAGATCTGTGGGTGGAGTGGGATTGGTGTCCGGTCCACAGGCCCCGGGGGGCCCCGTGCTGAGGCACACAAGTGGCACGGCTCAGTGAGGAGCCGTGCCAAGCGAAGATGGCTGGCTTGCCCGATCTGAGCCGGCCGGCTCCGCCCCCCCCCGGAGAAAATGTTGGCAATGCTGCTGAAGGCACTTAGCCTGGTGTGGTAAGCGGGGGCCAGGCGGGCCTTTGCCTCCCAAGCGGGGCTGGGCTGGGGGTCACTCACAAAGCTCCCAGAGCTGGGCCGGTCCCGCGCCTTCCTCTCTGTCTCTGCGTCACCGCTGCCATCTTTCCTGGCCTTTGTTGCCTTGGGCTGCTCGGTCTCCCGGCGCAGTTGGGGTGCTCTCAGGAATCTTCTTTTGCATCGGCCCTAAAACCTTGAGACTGTAGTTGCTTTTTTTCATTGTAGATTAGTTGATCAGTGATTTATTTGTTTTTTGTTGCTCTTGGAAATGCAAATAGTACTCTGGCAGCACAGCGCACACTTCTCAGGCTTGCTCTGTCCTCTGGCATGCCCGCTCCAGACCCGTTGCCATCTTAGGAACTCAAAAATAATCAGTTTTATGTCAGTTTTAAAATAGTCCAATTGATAACTATTAGAGCTCATTCTGTGAAAGTATGAATAAATTATGTAAATTTCTGGATGGCATAAAAAGAAATACAAGTAATCTTAGGAGAAAATAATCATAAATTTGGAAGTGGTTAAATATACATTAGACAACAGTGTGTAGAATTTAATATTAATAAATATAAAAGTCTAGTTGAAAGTGATGATTATCTGGAAAAAATTAAATTATAAGAACTGATTGAAGCAGTAAAAACTTTGGATAGCTCATATTTTTTCTTTAGGGTAGCTTTTTCATAATTTAAAGGAACAAAGTAATTTTTGTTTTGTATAAAGCTATTTTAGAACATGAGTATGGAATTTCCTTGTAAATTTAGCACAGGAGGCTCTGATAATGGAGTCTTATAGAAAGAGAATAAAGAATTAAAAATTATAGGCTTTATCAATTTTACTTATCAGTGTATGGAAGCAAAAATCCAAAATAAAATAGTAGCATGTAAGTTCAGCAGTGAAAATATAGATTTCAGTCTCATTGCAAATATAGTAGGAAATCTATAAATGTAATTATCACTGGTTATTAAAGGATCCTTTAGGAGATGCTAAACAGTCATGTGATGTTACACTCTCTTTGTCACCTCTCTTCCCCTGGGTGATGGAGATGCAAAGGATTTCTCAAAGCCCATTTCTTCTGAGCAGTAAGAAGCCCCAAAGGGGTTAATTTCCTGGAACCCTCAAGAGAGAGGCATTCCTCCTTGGGAAATTAACACCGGACTGGGGTTTTCTACCCATATTTATCTCTAGACAGGAAAGTTACAGAAAAGGCACATAGGTGGAGTTATGGCTAAGTATTGTTTAACAATAGAGGCTGGTAACATCAGTGAAATAACAAAGTGACATTCCATAATGCAATTTGCAAAAGGTTAAGTCAATCCACTAACAAAAGCTTGTTCTTAGCAAATACTGTCTTTTCCTACAGCAATTTCCTGAGTATGTTTACATAACGATCAAGTAACATCGGCAGGCTGCTCCACCCAGACCCCAAGTCTAATTCTGAAGATCTGTGTATCCACTGGGCCGGCTTCTGACTTCCGACTTCCACTCTCATTTATCTACAACAGAGATTTTAGCCTGGGGAAAGTTTCCTGTCTTTTGCAAGCTTAACATTTCTATATGTAATTTTATTTTATTTTTTTTCTATATGTAATTTTAAAAGTTAAGTTATACCTGAAACTACAGGGCTTTGGAAACTAGGCCCTGTGAGATACATTTGATTTATAAATGTTAGTACAGTCCACAATGTGACAAAATTCAATAACCTTTCCTGGAAAATTAGAATTAATTCTGTTAAAATAAGCTCTACAACTAGGAAAGCTGTTACTTACTCCTTCTATTATTAACATTGTTCTGAAAGTTTTTTCCAGTCTCTTCTTATTAAGATAAGAAATAGAAATTAGAATTAGCACTTAGGAGATTATCACATAACAGTGTCTCAAAAATGGTTGTTAAATGGATTCCACAGTGAAGTACTCTAAAAAATGTAGATAAAATGATTGATATTTACAAATAATTAATTTTTTAAATGTAACAAGCTAAAGATAATTAACTGAAAATCATTAGAACTAGTAATAAAATTCAGAAGAATGGTTAGATGTAAAATTAGTAGCTTTCCTATACCAACTAAAAAGTATAATGGAAAAATGATTCAATTTCTATGGAGTAAAAGATTAAATTTATCAGGAATTATGAGGGGATTTAGGCTAATATGAAGAATACCCAAACATCTTTACTAAGAAATATAAAAAATGACTTGACTAAATGAAGAGACCTTGTATATTACTTGACGGGCAGACAGAATATTGTAAAGATTTTTATTATCTTCAAATTAACTTGATAGTTTAATGCAATTCCAATAAAAATTTAAATCATTTAGTTTATGTGGAATGGACTAGAATAATGAAAACTATTCGAAAAATAAAAAGAGTGAAAAGGAAGGATTTGTACTGTCAAATAAAGTATAACAGAGTTGTTTTTGTGAAATAATAGGCAGACAGACATTGGGACTCAATTGAGTCAAAACAGGCACTAATATCAGTAATCAAAACAATGAAGCCACAAAATAAAAGATCAATAATGTTGATTACATCAAAACTTAAAAATACTATTTATCAAAACACAACAATAACAAATAAAAAGCAGTCAGTCAGAGCTCCACAGAGCTGTGAGAGGTGAAGGAAGGGAGGAGTTTAATTTATTCAATAGATGAAGTTTCTGCAGTGGCTGGAGAAGGCTGAGGTGGGTGGGAAGATGGTGGCCAAAGTGTATGTACATCCATGACCTTCTCTCCTTCTCGTCTCTTTCTGGAATAGTATAGCAGCCAGGCCAAGCATTCTGATGGTGTGGGAGAGGAGACCAAGCTGGCTGGAGAGTAGCAGGCAACCAGTCTCAGGATGCGAGTTGCAGAGGATGGATCCCTAAATCCCCAGCGGTCACTGGTCCATGCTTTCTAGTTTAGGCAGACAAAATATTTGTCAAATAAATGTCTGAACTGTGAGATTCTTGAAATTGGTGCAACCAACCATAGAATCCAGGATCATCTTCATCAAAACTGAAACGAGAGGCCAGCCGTCACTGGGATCGAAACAGAATTAGATGATGTCCCCCAATCCCTAGAATTAGCTATCCATCCTCACCAGCCTGGCACTGATGTGGTCTTATATTTTATTCAGTTTAAGCTTTTGGATCCTATTTATCATGTTACAGCAGGGCTTTGCTGTACCTGGCAAGTACTTACCGAAAGAAATATAAATTCCAGAAAATATATAAATGTCAGGAAAAATAGGTAAGTATCAATAGATGGATAATGAGAGATTTTACAGTATTTGTAGAAGGGGCCAAATTACCAGTGGAGTCCATTAGAGTTCACAATTAAGAAAATAAGGTTAAGAATCCCTGCAAGTGATTGGGGAAAGGGAGAAAGTTTAGCAGGCATCTAAAATGCTTAGCTCCTTTCGGTATCCAGAAGGCAACAGTGGCTGGGAGCTTGCATAGGATGAAACTAAAGTCTGAATTCTGTTGGAAGCAAGGTAGCTTGTCTAGGGTCACTTTTATGTAGCTTTCCTCTCAGTTTCAAAGGAAAGTGTCTGTGTTACTTTATTTTCAGTCCAATTCTGTTCCACCTACATCATGCTTTCAACTCCTCTTCCTTTTCCTAAAGATGCATGAATCAGCTCTCATCACATTTTATGGTGTGATTTACATTTTGCTCTTTTGAGAGGACAGCTATTCCTTGATGATCGGAGATATCACAGTCTAATTTATGCATATTTTGGATATTTTTCTTGAATAATTTCACTGACAACATTCATTAAAAGTTTATTACTTTGGGGTTGTTTTGCAAATTTTTTCAGATCCCTTTGACTGACTTTTATCTTTTTATATTAGGAGGAATGAATCTCTACTTGGACTAAAAAAAAAGAAATATAAGGACAGTGTTTTGTGTAAAAAGGCAAGCAAACCTTTAAAGAAGTTCAAAGCTGCAGTAATAGAGATTGGAAGAGTAAGTTTCCTATGAGTTATGAATTTTAGGTAATGAAGTTAAGAGATTTGTTTATTTAGAAATGATTAGCTACATTTTACTTTATTATAATATGAAACAAAAGGAAATACCAACAAGCATGATTTTATAATTATATAATCCATTATAACTGTTAAGTTATCATATAGATATTTTTATGGTCAGATCTTTTCATCTATAGGGGCATTTCTGTCGCTTTTGATAGTAATCTTAATTTAGGTATACAGAGAAAAAGCTATATTTCAATGTCAAGAGAAGCATTAGATATGAGTAAATTGTACTATTGTGTTCAAAGCTTAAGTTTAATTTGAAACATTTTGTTATTTTCTCTATTAAGACTGCAGATATGACAGCAAGAAGAAGAAGTAAAAAAAGGGAAACTCTAAGAGATTTTTTTTCCAAAAATCCATCTATTCTTGAAATGGTGGAACATGAAAGGTATTAACTAATTAATTAACTCAATAAAAGTTTACTTGAGGATGGCTATGTGTTAGGCATTAATTTGCACACTAGGGATATACTAGTGGACCAGAGAGATAAAATCACTGCCCTCAAGGAGCTTACATACTAATGAAACAAGCACAGTAAACAAGTAAACACACAAATAAACAAGACAGTTTAAAATTTTGATAAATATACTTGAGGATGGCTATGTGTTAGGCATTAATTTGCACACTAGGGATATACTAGTGGACCAGACAGATAAAATCACTGCCCTCAAGGAGCTTACATACTAATGAAACAAGCACAGTAAACAAGTAAACACACAAACAAACAAGACAGTTTAAAATTTTGATAAATATGAAATAAATTAAAAGAATGATATGCTATAGAGTAATTGACTTAGCATGGGGTTTTTCTATATGTCTCTATCTAAATATAGCTGTATAATTATAGCTATATAAATATCTCTATACCTATCTATCTACATACCTACCTATCTATCATCCTAAGTTCATTCTGATACCTTCAATTTTAGTTCAACACTACAGTATACTTTCCAGAGTTTTCTCCTTTCCAAATTATAACTCTCTCCTTTAATGGTGAGAATCCTGGTTCCATTAATGTTAATACATCAACTCGCTTCCTCAAGCTAGAATACACAGAAGGTAGTTTCAGGATTCCTTAATTTTTTTCTGATGCAGGTTTCCATCTGCTTCCTTGAATGGCTCCATGTCACTGAGCACGTGTGCAGATTGTCCTTCCTGAGCTTCCTCTCTGTGTCTGTTGGGTCTCCTCAGACCTCATGGAGACACAGCTCTGATGGTTAGAGTATTCTAAATGTTAAGAACTGTTCAGGTGGTAGAAGGAGAAGCATTTTCTACTCTCTGTGGGCTGGCTGTTGGCTCCCTTCCAAGCCACCTGGAGCCTCTTGTTACCTTTCCAAAATACCTGGAGGAAGCTTATCCTCTTGCTGATCTACCTGAATAATCTCGCCTCAGTGTCAGACAAGATACAGCTGATCCTGTTGTTTCTTCCTGGACTTTTGAGGAGAGTTGACCTCCTCACACAGGGACTTTGAATTTTCAAAATAGTCATTAAAAAGATTCACATTTGTTAGGAAATCAAATAACATATCACTAAAAGCAACCAAACAACAACAGAAAGTCCAAAAAACATTGGATTAAAAGGAAATTATCAACAAAATACAAAATATTTAGAACCGAATGATTATATAAACACTACTTGTCAAAAGGAAGCCTCCTTGCTTCCTGTCTTTCTCAAAATATCTGCTCCTTTGTTGCAACAATCTCTGTCTGTCTTCCTTCCTTCCATCTCTCTCTCTTCTTTTTTTCTTCTGGGTGTGTGTGGGTTTCTGATTCAGAACAATATCTATATAAGTGAGCAAGATACTTTACCTACTGAGATCTGGGTTTTTTTCTCCCTTTTCTAGTGAAAATCAGGAAGAATGATAGGATCTTTGGGGCAGCAACATTGCCAACAGTACAAAAAAAAACTGATGAAGTGTTTTGACACATGAAGTTATGCTCTCTAAACAACTATGTAACTATAAAAATAGCTGGACTACTTTGAGTTCTGATAGGAATGTTTTTTTTAAAAGTGCACATGTTATGCATAAAATTGAACTATTAGCTGAAATTTGAGTATTGTTTTTTTCTGGAGCATGTTGAATACACATTTGTAAAATTACTTAATCTATATTCAACTGACATTTTATTTCCTCTAGAGTCTGACTAATGTTAGACAAAATTTTGCTGCACTGTTTTTTTCCTTAAGAACAAATACAGAAAAATGATTTTCTTGTTTAATATTGTAGTTAGTTGATGAATGTGAGCATATATCATAATTTAATTGTCTAATCTCAGTGGACTTTTGGTTGTGGAAGAGAAAAGCTCTGTTTGGTTTTAGCTGAGGACTCAGACATCAGAGAGCGTGGAACGCAGTATGTGGTGTCTTTGTCCCAGGTGCTTATCCTTGTGACTTTTGTTTTAATCACCCTATTTCACATTTCTAGCACTGAGGAAGTGATAAATAAACCAGAAACATTTGCATAAGGGCAGTCAAGTGACTTCTTGATGTATTCTGTACAAATTGGAACCATTCTTTTTTATTAAATATCTGGGAGTTTTTGTGTAATTTCAAAACTTTTTTCTCCCTTGGCAGAAACAAGAGAGCTGATGTTAGAAAAATAGCATTTCGATGCCTGATGGACCACTTGAATCCTCTAATATTAGATTATGCTAAAAGAAAGAGGTTCCATCAAATATTTCTTGAGGAGATGCCCTGGAGATCTCAAATGAACCTCCATCTGGCAAGTGCACACTTCAACCTGCTTTTACAAAAGCTGGGGGAGCATTTGAAGATGAAATGTAGTGCTTCACATTCGACGGTCAGGTACAGTATATTGTCCATCAGTAATACTTTTGTAGTCTCATGAACATGGACTGTATTTGTATGTTTGGGGCTTCAAGGTTGATACAATTTAAAGGGTTTATAGAGTGCCTCTGTCTTTACACTGGGCATTAGCATATTTCTTAATTTCTTATCTCAAAATTTTTCTCAAACAAGTGTTAGAAATTAGCTCTTATGAAATACAAATTTGCATATATCTTGAGTATGTCAATCTAGCTTTCAGTGCAAGGGTAAAGTGTAATTTCAAGAGAAATTCAGTGAGAATTGTGTAACAACTGTAGATACTTGTAGGCATTAGGAAAATTTCTGTTTCATGTAGAGGTGTATTTTAAGCCTTTTTACACAGAGACCATATTTTCCTTATATGATAAAAATTTTCTATCATTAATTCAACAGACATTTCTGAACTCTTATTGAGTGTCTTTGGCTAAGTGCTGTGGGAGATAAAAATAGAAGATAAGCAGGTAATATGGAATGCTATGTAACCATTAAAAAGGTGATAGTCATTCATTAAAAAAAAAAATACTTTGAGGCAGGTAATATGGAATGCTATGTAACCATTAAAAAGGTGATAGTCATTCATTAAAAAAAAAATGCCTTGAATACCTATTAGGTACAAGGAACTGAGCTAGGTGCGATGGGTATGCAAAGATGAACGTACATACAAGTTGCAGTCTGGTAGGGGATATCACAGATATTCACAAATAACTATAATTAATGATGGCAGTTGAAGTACACATAAAGTCTTCTTTGTTCCTAGAAGGAGGCTTTCCTCTTCCTGGGACAAACAGGAAAGGTTTCATGATGAGGGCCCTCTAGGCCTGGATCTTGATGGATAGGCAGGGTTTAGAAATGTGCAGATAGGGAAATAGGCATTCTTGATAGTTAGAAGAACACAGGTCAGAACCCAGGTAGGAAACACTGGATGAGAACCCCAAATAGTACGACCAGAATCAAGGGTGTATAGAAGTTCATGCAGGGTCTTAAATGCCTATTAAATCTGAGCTTTATTTTACATTCAGTGGGAGATTATTGAGGGTTTTTTTTTTATCAGGGCCATGATAAAAATTTCTCTGGTAGTAACATCAAATGGATCAGGGGGAGGAAAGACTGGAGTCAGGGATATGAATTAAGAGTCTATTTCAATAATCCAACAAGGAAAAAATGTAGATTGAAATCCACAATGAATTCGGTCCCAGTTTGTGTATGTCCAGAATTTTGGTTGAAATCTCTACCAGACTGAACCTTCCCAAAAATGACTCCAGATAGGTTCCCTTTCCTATGTGGGCTAGACCAGATCTGCATTCAAGAAGCAGTTAGCTTGCCTGATTGCCAGGGAAGGCTTCTGGCAAAGTGACTCATTCACAGGGACTTGACACAGAAAACAGTTCAGACCAGATGAGCTTCGTTACTGTTCTCTGAACTGGTACCGAGCAGTCTTCTCCGAGCACAATAAGACGATGACCAAATTTGTGTCAGGGCAACTTGGTGCTAACTTTGATTTTTATTAAAACTGTTAATGTACATACAGTATTTGTCAGTTTATTTTTGGTGGAAGATTGTTTACTGCTTAGACCTTATTTTTAAAAACAAATAATATCGGTTATGGACACATTGTTCTATATAGTAGGTATCTGCCTTGAGTTGTGTTTAAATCCGGTGGTTTTAAGTTGACATAAAGTATTGTTTCAGAGCTCATAGAGCGAGGGTAGTAGATCTTTCATTCCTCTTTTCGAGGTCCTTTTCAGGGAAATAGATATTGATGTTAAAATTCCTAAGAGCAAAGTTACATTGTATAATTTTAAAAGTTGGTGGGAAAATGTGTGGCTTTAAGTACTAAAATACTTTATGATCTAAAATTTGGGAGAACTCTCTCACAAATGCTTTAAAAATAGATTGTATTGGGCAGATTTAATTCAATTTTGCTTGTATTGTTTTTTTAATGTGATTTTTTCTCCCTTGCAGTTTTCGATCATTGGATCCTAATATATTTTCACTACATAACTCAGGAACAGTATTACCAACAGCAAAATTGACTGTAGAAAATTATAAAGCAATGCTTGATTTCCTTCTTACAGCTAAAAAAAGGAAGGCCAACTTACCATCAGGTAAAATAAATGTTAATTTACTCTCAAATTGCCTCTAGATTTTTATGCACTAACACAACACGCAGACATGCACACACACCCACACTCCATGAGCACACAGATGTATACACACTATTTTCCAAAGACCCAGCAATTCAGTTGAGTTTTGATGCTTTGTAGGAGGTTCTTGTTTACTCCATTTTTGAGAGCAGATTAACCTACTGATTGACATGTTAAGAAAGTTGCTTTATTGTTACGTAAAAATACTGAAGAAACTGCTGTAGGAAAACAGTATTTGCTAAGAACAAGCTTTTGTTGGTGAATGGACTTAACCTTTTGCAAATTGCATTATGGAATGTCACTTTATTTCACTGATGTTACCAGTCTCTGTTGTTAAACTATACTTAGCCATAACTCCACCTTTGTTTCTTTTCTGTAACTTTCTGGCCTGGAGAATAAATACTGAGACAGAACCCCAGTTCAGGGTTAATTTTCCAAGGAGGAATGCCCCTCTCTTGAGGGTTCTGGGAAATTAACGCCTTTGGGGTGTCTCACTGCTCAGGAGAAATGGACTTTGAGTGATTCTTTTTGCATCTCCGCCACCCTGTGTGAGGCAAAGCAACACCTGAAGAGACACAAATGTAGGTTAACTGAGGCTTTCCAGAGCTGCAATCTAGCCTCAAATGCAAGAGTTCATTGATAAGAATAAATTGATCAGTTATCTCTATTTCTGCCTAGTAGAGGAAAGTATGAACTCTCTCTAGAAGGTACCTACTCTGAGGCTTCTATGTACTGTATATACAATGTCTATCATTAAGTAGAAATTATTAGGTAGGTCAAGTAAAAGGGTTATATTACTGAATACCAAGTGAGGAAAAAAAAAATAATGAATACAGGCACACAGGCAGTTCAGATATTGGAATTAGGTGACAAGAATTTTAAGTGACTATGATGGATATGTTCTAGAATATAGAAAGTTAAATGTCCAAAATCACTAAATATATGGAGATTTTCTACAGTGATTTAAATTTCTATAAGTAATTAGTGGATATTTTCAAACTGAAAAATGCACATGTCAACTTAAAGATTCAAGTCATAGGATTTTCATTTTGAATACTGTGAAATTTGTGAGTTAGTTTTTTTTTTTTTCTTTTTTACTGAAGCATAAATGTTTATACATATGTGTGGGGAACAAAGTTGACTATCAATAGTTGTGTACATGTGATGGTCAGATCAGGATATTTAGCTTGTTCCTCAATACAATACATAATCATTCTCTCTGTCCATTAACCGATTTCTCATTAATTTCTTATTAGCACCTCTCCCCTTCCCTGTTTCTACTTCTAGTAACCACAGTTCTGTTCTCTCCTTCTAAAACTTCTCTCTCAATGGACATTTAGGTTGATTCCACATCTTGGCTACTGTAAATAGAGCAACAGTAAACATAAGAGTGCAGGTATCCCTTTGATATGATGATTTCCATTCCTTTGGGTGTATACCCAGTAGTGGGATTGCCGCATCTTAGAGCAGTTCTATCCATAGTTGTTTGAGGGATCTCCATACTGTTTTCCATAAAAAATTGCACTAATTTACAGTCCCACCAACAGTGTAGAAGAGTTCCCCTTTGTCTGCATCCTTGCCAGCATTTCTTGTTCTCAGTCTTTTTGATAATAGCCAGTCTAACTGGGGTGAGATGATATCTCAGTGTGGTTTTAATTTTCATTTTCCTGATGATAGTGATGTTGAGCATTTTTTTAAGTACCTGCTGGCCATTTTTATTTGTATGTCTTCCTTCGAAAAATGCCTCTTTAGCTCCTTTGCCCATTTTTTAAATGGATTATTTTTCATTAATTTAAAATTTTTTTTACTGTGAGGTTATTTGAGCTTCTTGTATATTCTGGATACTAATCCCTTGTATGTATAGTTTGCAAATATTTTTTCCCATTCTGTAGGTTGTCTTGTCACTCTGTTGATTGTTTCCTTTGCTGTGCAGAAGCTTTTGAGTTTGATATATTTCCATTTATTTATTTTTTTTCTTTTGTTGCTTGTGCATTTGGGGACTTTATTCATAAAGTCTATGACTAGTCCTACTTCCTGAAGTGTTTCCCCTATGTTTTTCTTTAGTAGTTTTACAGTTTCAGGTTTTATTCTTAAGTCTTTAATCCACTTTGAGTTGATTTTGGTACATGGTGAGAGGCACATGTTTAGTTTCATTCTTCTGTATATGGATGTCTAGTTTTCCCAGCATCATTTATTGAGGAGGCAGTCTTTTCCACAATGTATGTTCTTGTTGTCTTTGTCAAANACAGGGCTGTCAGTCTCGGTGCTGCCCTGATGACTGACGTCTGCCAAATTGGACTAATTTTTATACTCTTTTTCTGCAAAGATGATGGAGCCTGGACATTATTCCTAACCAATAATCTATCTTGAATAACACTCATTTTACAAATAAAAATTTATATCTAATATCTCTAAGCTATTACAAACCCAGTTATATAAATTTTTAATAATGGCATTTTAAGTGCTATAACATTGCTGATCAGGGTTCTTGGTATGCTATTAACTGCCCCTAGGAGTGCTGATTCATGTTTGAAGTACTCGACATGCTTTCTAGTTTTTCTAAGGTATAGATTACATTTAATTAGTACCTGCACATCATATTATGTTTACTGAAGTATTTGAAAATAAATTCCATAGACACAGAGTCTGATTTTTGTATATGGATTATAATATATAGCTTCCTGAGTTTTTTATAAAACTGGCTCCCTACCCTCAGGTAGGGACCTATCATGAAATTGGCAATAGGATATTCTTTTAATGAGACTTATTATCTAATGCAGAGTTCTAAGAGAAGGTTTGTGGCAGGAGAATTCCTCTTGCTTTTATGCCACACCAGCAGGGGCATGAGTGGCTTGGGTCACTGCACTGCTACTCACTTCCTGGTGTATGTGTCCTGGGAATGTCCTGCTGGGGAAGAAATTAAGGAACAGTGGGATCCTGTCATCATGCCCATCCATCAGGACCTAAGTGCCTTATTCTCTCGAATCTTCCCCTGGTTCATTGTGTCTATGATAATTCCTTCCTTTCTCCAAATTTATGTATCATTTGTTATCTGAGTTACTCATTTGATGTATACCACCTACTGTGTTTTCTGGAACTTAATTCTGTTTTTAATTGCATTATACCTTATTTTTGTACTATAGATGCTGAAGAATTTTCCACATTTGTTAACTCCAGAACAAGCGAAGAAAATATGAAGACACAAACATTTTATGAATCAGACTCTGAATCAGGGCTTAGTGCTAAAGAAAAGGATCAAGCAGCAAATACGGGTCTATTGGATCATTTTATGAAAATCTTTTTATATTGCAGGAGAGCAATGGTAATACGATCATTCTTATTTGCTGACGTAGTAGACATAAATCTCAGCCCATAAACTCGGGCATGTATATATTTTATTTATTTATTCACTATACATAATTTTACTTTTTTAAAAAAATTTAATTTCTGTAATTTTTTTGATTGTTTGTACATATTCATGGGACACAGAGCTGACCATCAGCACCTGTGCTGAAGATGTAATGATCAGATCAATGCTATTAGCATGGCCACCATCTCATATTGCAATTATTCCCCATGTCACCCACCCAAACTCCCCCCCACCAAGCAACCTGAGATATGTTCTCTCCCTCTGCAAGTCCAATACACTGCTGTGGTCTTTCTTTCCTTCCTTTTTTCTCTTTTAGCTCCCACTTATGAGTGAGGACATGAGGTATTTTTCCCTCTGTGCCTGGCTTATTTCACTTAACATAGTTTTCTCCAAGCTCATCCATATTGCTGCAAATGGCAGAATTTCATTCTTTTTTATGGCTGAGTAGTATTCCATTGTGTATATATACCACATTTACCTTATCCAGTAGTCTGTCAATGGACATTTAGGTTGGTTCTATATCTTGGCTATTGTAACTAGAGCTGCAACGAACCTGGGAGTGTGGTATCCCCTCGACATGGGATTCATTCCTTTCAGTATATATCTAGAAGT